GGAGGAGGGAGAGAAGCCGGAGCAGGACCTTCCTCCCTCATTGCTATGCCTAATGCTGCCATCGAGCTGCCCTCGTGCTCCAGTGACTCCTGTAAGATTCGGGTCACGTCGGATGAGAGAGCAGCTGACGGGACATGGAGAGGAGTATCGACATGATGAGAGCTCTCGCCGCAAGGTCAGGTCTCTCCGTCACGTAACACAATAACGGCCATGGCAGGGGAGCTGTTCAGGGAGGTGTGGGTCCCGGATGGCAGAGTCTCTCAGTCGGGAGTCACTGAGTGGCAAGTTACCGCACTTGAACTTTACTACTGAGTCTTCTAAGTTCAGTCCGAAAGTGATTGAGCCTGAGTCCGGCCCCCGTCAGTCCGAGCCGGGTCCAGGTGTCGGACGACTCGTCACCGGCCGAGGCCCTCGGGCCTCGGCCCGCCCGCCCGCGGCCCGCCCGCCTGATCGGACGGCGGCGCTAAGTTTTACGGCGGCGACAATTTACAGGCAGCCTGACGGTAAATTTCGGAAACGCCACAAGGAAGCGCCCGGCCACTCAGGGCAGGTCCACGAGGCTGCGCCTGCCGAGTCACCGTGCCAGTGGCACGACAACAAGGCTTGAAGTTAGTCACTGCCAGGACTTAAACTACTGATGTAGAAATCGAACTACAGCCGCTCGGAAAGCCAGAGGCTCAGCTCAGGCTGAGTCATCACTGTCACGTAACGGCCAGAGAGACAGGACCGTGACGCTGACAACCGTTTGGCCTTCTATCGCGCCGATTCGATTGTCCAGAGGCCCCCGACTGATATGGAGAGGTCCTCGGGGGCAGCGATGCTCCATTACCCCTGAATTAGTGTGAAGGAGTAAGGTTCCAATTCTGCACGGCAAGAAAAGATACAACAATAATACGTCACCCCCCGTGACGGTTTTTAGCCGGTCAGAATGCTGACCACCCCTCCTTTCCCCTCCTAAACCACCCTTCCCAGAAACGATACGGGGTGGCGAGCTGTGACTAAACGGAGAAAACGCACCGGTTGGATCAGCAAATAACGCATCGATTCAGCCTATTGCCCCTCCTCTTTATCCTACTAGCTCGCACTCCCTCGCCTGCTCCCTCCCCACACAGCCGCCCACCGCCTCCTCCCAGTCTGTCCTCCTTCCCGTCCACCTCTCAGCTTGCCTCCCGGCTCCCGGCTCCCTTGCTCCCTTGCGATCGTGACCTCCGCCTCAATGCAGCTCCCGTCCCATGACCTCGCCCTGTCGCTGGCAACCCAGCGCTCAATCCGCGTTCGCAACGTCCAGTGGACTACCGCCCGACATGCAGATAGCAGCATCGACCCGACGCAGTCGAGTTTTGTACTGGCAAACATCCTCCAAGCCCGCAAGAAGTCCTCGCAGCAGCACGCCGGTCAGGCGGAGTGGGATATCTCGGACAAAGCGATCGGAGACCGGATGGAGCGGGGTGGTGGATGATTTGCAGGCATCTGAGTTCTAGTGTACTTTAGCAGGAGTGTACTTTGTATCTAGACGGGCGTCTAGAAGTGTGTATCAATAGACTGATTGCGTGTGTATCCAAAGCAAGACAGCAGACCCACATCAAGGAGACACGCTTGCCTCATATCTTCCTTAGGACAGAGGATGAGATTTCGCGCGCGTGAAACTCGGCACATGGCATCTTTTGTCAGCATGCTCACGACGTGAAAGCAGCGAGGCATGCGGCGGGCATGGAGGAGTGCCTTTTGTGTGTAGCAAGTACATGTGATGAGTTCAAATGAGGCAAAGTTGAAGTACAAGTCATCGTGGATTCGTTGGTTGCAATGGAACAACTGCAAGGGAAAGGGCTGATTTGATTTATTTGAGATGATAAAAGACAAAAATTGTCATATGAAGCATCGAGTGAAGGGGATCTTGGTAGGGAACTGCTGGGATCTGAACTTGCAGTCTAGAGCAAAACAAACTACCGTGGAGGTCACTCTCTTGCGAGCAGTCCTGCCCTTCTCTGTCCTGTCCTGTTCCAGTCTTTTGTCACATTCTGTCTGAGAATTTTCATTTCGTCTCGTGGGGTCTCATTTCGAACCCTTCCACCTTGCCTCGCTCATCCCACATGCTATCCATTTAGCTTGTCTCCATCCCCCCCCTCCTCCCCTCCCTTCCCTCCCTCCTCCGCCCTCCCTCCCTCCCTTCCCCTCGACTCCTCTCGCCTCCGTTGTCGTTTCATCTCGTTTCGATCATATCATATCTTACCATACCATACCATACCATACCATACCATACCATACCATACCTTACCATACCTTACCATGTCGTATCATATCAGATCAGATGATACCATCTTTTTGTCCCTTCTAATATAGACTTGTCTTACATTGCTTCAGATTTGTTGAGACACTACTCCCTGCATCATTCTCACTGCCCCCATGATTGTCATTACCACCATACCATATCTCGTCTCGTCTCGTCTCGTCTCGTCTCGTCTCGTCTCGTCTCGTCTCGTCTCGTCTCGTCTCGTCTCGTCTCGTCTCGTCTCGTCTCCTCGCCTCTCGTCTCATCGCCTCCCCTCCCCTCCCCTCCCCTCCCCTCCCCTCCCCTCCCCTCCCCTCCCCTCCCCTCCCCTCGCCTCCCCTCGCCTCCCCTCCCCCCTCCTCCTCCTTCCTACTGTTTCGGCATGGTAGCCCCAGGACCGATGCTCCGATGTTTGCTAGGCCATTGCACGCCGATGTTTGCTAGGCCATGCACGGGTGGGGTGGGTATGGGAGTGAAGCAGTTGGGGGTGGTCGGGTCATATATCTTTCTCTGATGATAGGTGGGTACTTCTAGGGTGATGAATTGGGGTCATTATCCTTGTTGTTGAAAATTGGTGGGGTGGGGTACCTCTTGGGGTACGGGTTGCCCGATCTAAAATGGTGGCAGGGTGGTCATGAAAATGGGGGTAGTGAGCATGAGGCAGGGGGTAGTGTTTCGGGGGTATAACAATGATCCCTGAATATCCCTACAAAAGGTGGGTCCATTCAGGTAGAAGTAGGGGGTGAAGGTATCAAAATATTCTAAGTGGTCATCACAGGAGGGTAGGGGTGGGAGCGGGGACGGCGCCAGGATCCCTTCCCAGATGCACTCCGGCAACTCCGTTGCCTTGATCAGCCATCCTTCTCCTCCTCTCCTCCTCTCCCTCCTCATCCACCCATCGTATCATCATCATCCTCCTCCTCCTCCTCCTGCTCCTGCTCCTCCTCCTCCTCCTGCTCATCCTCATCCTCATCCTAAACCCTTCTCCTCGTCCTCGTCCTCGTCCTCCTCGTCCTCGTCCTCGTCCTCGTCCTCGTCCTCGTCCTCGTCCTCCTCGTCCTCCACCACCACCTCCTCCTGCTCCTCCTGATCCTCCTCATCCTTCTCCTCCTCCTGCT